GGGGGTGTGGTCCCGGGAGAAGGGGCGGGGGTGGGGCGGCTTCCACTGTGAGGCCGCCCTCACTGGCGCAGTTGCAGGGTCAATGCGACCGTTGCAGCGTGTACGATCAACGCTGGTAGAAGTGTTCAGATTGTAGATTAATTTTTGAGGCAGCTCATTGATGCAGAGGATGCAAACCCCCCCTCACTCAGGGAGTCTTAACTGACTTCTGGGCTGGCCCGGAGCACTGTCTTAGGATGGTTTGTCTCAAAATAAGAAAATGCTTCAGCTTGGACGGCCCAGCTCTCACTAGGGCAGGGCGAAACGGCACCGTTCCGTTTCGACTTGCGTTTCGACATTTCGACGGAAAAGCGTTTCCTTTCCAATTTCATTTGGATTCGAAACCGCTGATCCATTTCTTTTCATCAAAACACTTTCACTCAGTTTCACTGTTTCAACCCAGTTTTGAGGTTTTGCCCATAGGATATAATGGGGAAGCTCAAAACAGCCTATAACTTTGTCATTTCCAGCCTGATTTGGATGAAACGTGTGGGAACGGTAGCCCCTTCTGAGGGCATGAAGTCTACCAAGTTTCAAGGAGATAGGTGCAGGGGTTTGGGAGAAACTGCACCTCAAATCTTGAAAGCAAAACTCATGTCAGGTGTAAGTGTTAAGCCACAGCGGGGTGAAAACAGCAGGGGTGGTGGCCCCTGGTGAGGCCACAAAGCCTGCCAAGTTTCAAGGAGATAGGTGCAGGGGTTTGGGGGAAACTGCACCGCAAGCTGCAGACAAGCAAAACTCGTGACACAGGTGACACTGCACGTGATAAGGCGCAGCAGGGTGACAGCTGCAGGCCTGCTAAGACCACGAAGCCTGCCAGCTGTCAAGGAGATGGGTGCAAGGGGAGTCTGGGTTCTGGGGCCCTGCACCCCTAGCTGCTGACAGGCCAAACTGGAAGACACAGCTCACTAACTGACCCCAAGGTAGAAAGCAGGGCACTTCAAACAATGCTGCCTTTTATGCAGTTTTTCCATCCCTCCCCCAGAGCACTGGGATTGGAAGGGACCTCAGGGAAGGATGACAGTCGCAGGCCAGCTACACAGACAATAATGAGAGCGCTCCTTCCCTCCTCTTCCCCCTCTTCCCCCTCCCTCTCCTTACTTCAGCCTCTGTTTCCCTGCAGGCAAGCCCAGCTTGAGCTTCGAAATGTTTCGAAATTTTTTAAATGTTTCGACTCACCTCATTTTGTTTCGAGGCTGTTTCAAAGCTCTCTGTTTCGTTTTGATTTCGCTGTTTCAAGCTCAAAACGAGTCAAAACAACGTCAAAACAAAACTGCCGGTGAAATTTCACACAGCCCTAGAGCACAGCCCCCGCTGACAGAGGCAGCAGCAGCAGGCTGCAGGCACTCATGGCCTGTGCAGGCACTGCCACCCAGTGGCATATGGCTCCAGCCAACACTGCATGTGGTGACAAGGAGCACAGCCAGGCTGGCCCGCCTCTATTGCACAGGGCTCCCTGTGGTGCACATCCACCAGGGGGAAGCCCCATGCAATGGAACCAGGTGCCTTTCCCCTCTCCCTCCCGTGCAGGTCCCAGGACTCCACTGGAAGTGGTGGGGAGGCCCACATGACACGATAGAGGTGAGCCAGCCTAGCTGCGCTTCTTCCCACCACATGCAGTGCTGGCCGGAGCCATGCACTGCCAGGCTGGAGTGCCTGCGTGGGCAATGAGCACTGCAAGCACCCGCCACCTGCTGTTGCTGCTGCTGCTGCTGGAGGCAGGGGCTGTGTGCCATGAGGTGGAGTGTGTGAGGGGTCTGCACACACCCCCTCCCTCCCTCATCCCATAAACCCCACACAGCCACAGCCTGCCCCCACAAACCCCCTACAATATGTCCCCCACGAACCCCCCCCAATATGTCCCCAACATACCCCATACCCCCCCACACAGCCACACCCCCTCACAAACCCCACATACAACCCACCATATACACACCCAACCACACCTCACGCATCCAATATATGAGAGTAAGACTTTATTTTTGAGTTATTATGCAATCATCTTTATATACACTACACAAACAAATCATAATGAAAATATTTTTGTAATAAAATTAAAATACATTATAGTGGGTGTTTGACTTTTAGTATATGATTTCATTTTTTTCCAGTTGCAAGATGGCAACCCCCTCTCCCAAAAGGAATACGTCCAGGGGCAAGGGGAGGGACCTCCAGGGGCAAAGGGCAGGGGTTAGGGGGCCGAACTTCCAGTTCCAAGATGGCAACCAGGGGGTAGGGCACCTGTCAAGAGGCAGGACTACCCTTGCAGACTTTGACAGCTCACCAACACTCATTAAGTGGCCCTCCAGTCAAAATAATTGCCCACTCTTGCATTAGACTCTCCAATTTGTCTACATCCTTTCTGTAATGGAGGGCCCAAAACTGAACATGGTACTCCAGATGTGGCCTCACCAGTGCCAAATAGAGCAAAAGAATCATTTCCCCCAATTTGCTAGCAATGCTCCTACTAATGCAGCCCAGTATGCTGTTAGCCTTCTTGGCAACAAGGGCCCGCTGTTGGCTCATATTCAACTTATTGTCCACTGTAACCTCCAGGTCCTTTTCTGCGGAGTTGTTGCTCAGCCAGTCAGCTCTGTACCAGTGCATGGGATTGTTCCATCCCAAGTGCAGGACTTTGCACTTGTCCTTATTGAACCTCCTTAGATTTCTTAGGTCCAGTCCTCCAATTTGTTGAGGTCTCTCTGAATCCTAGCCATTCCCTCCAGTGTATCTACTACCAGTTTGGTGGCATCTGCAAACTTGCTGAGGGTGAACTCCATCCCATCTTCCAGGTTGTTGACAGGGCCAGACACAGGCATGGGCAAACCAGGCAGCTGCCTGGGGCCTGGACAGAAAGGGGTCCTGAAAATGGTGAAAATTTATCATTATTTCTGGGAAAGGGGGGCCCAATACTAAAAGTTCATCTGGGGCCACCAGGAGTCTAGGTATGGTGCTGGTCATTGATAAAAATATTGAACAAAACCAGCTCCAGGACTGACCCCTAGGGCACTCCATTTGATGCCAGCTGCCATGAAACATTGAGCCATTGATTAGTACCCTCTAAGCCCAATGATCCATCCAGTTTTCTATCCACCTTACAATCCATTCATCCAACCCATACTTCCTTAGCTTGCTTGTGAGAATGTTGTGGGAGACCATATCAAAAGCCTTGCTAAAGTCAAGGTATATCCCATCCACTGCTCTTCCCACATCCACAGAGCAAGTCATCTCATCATAGAAGGCAATCAGGTATGTCAGGCATGACTTGCCCTTGGTGAATCTATGCTGACTGTTCATAATCACCTCCTTCTCCTCCAAGTGCTTAGATATGAATTCCTTGAGGACCTGCTCCATAATTGATTTCCCCAAGGACTGAGGGGAGGCTGACCAGTCTGTAGTTCCCAGGATCCTTCTTTCCCTTCTTAAAGATGGGCACTATATTTGCCCTTTTTCAATCATCTGGGACCTCTCGCAATTGCCACAGTTTTTCAAAGATAATTGTCAGCAGCTCTGCAATCACATCGGTGGCTCTGCAATCACATACCTATGCACACATATGCATATGCTCATGCTCATGTACACACATGTGCACATGCACACCCATGTACACATACATACACACCCTCATGCACATAAACATATGCACACACACTCATCCATGCACACATACCTATATATACACACACGTCCATGCACGTGCCTGTATTACCTATGTCAGGGAGTATAAGCATGACCATGCAGTTTCCTACATTTAATACACAACCTAGAAACAAACTGTAGATTCACTGCCTGAAACCTTTATTGAGGCAGAGTTAAGTCACTCATTGGTGTTTCCTGCCTTTCCAGAGCACATAAAGTTAAACCTCAAAGCCTGGGAAAGACAGTTAAAGTAGAGGCCACTTTCCGGTGCCCAACATCAGGAAACTGTTTTTTTGCTCGCAGATCCGAGCCCTGTTCCAGCCAGCACTCAGTCCAAAACCTGTCCCTCTCAGCTTGTTAATGCCACAAGTGCTTCTCTGAAGTTTTCTCCTAATTCAGCTTCTTAGGTATTAATTCCTTCCCCTATCTATGTGCACGTGCACACACACAAACACATAGCTCCATCAAATAATTCCCTGCCCCATGAGTAAGTAGCCAGGCTTCCAACCTACATATCTGAGATTCCTGTTTCACTTGCATGTGGTCTGAGTTTGGGGGCAGTGTCTCCTATTGCTTCAGCTTTCTGATCCCAAGAAAAGAGCATTACTGTGTCTTACATACACGCTGAGTGAAATGCAGTTACACCCACTAGCTTTAATAAAGCTTTCCTTAAACTCCCTTAATGGAACAAAATTTTAATGCCATTCTCTAAAAAAGGTGTGCTCTTGTCAGGAATGCTACATTTACTTTTTGGTATCCAGGTTGTAGCTGTATTGGTCCAGAGGAAAAGGCAATCAGGACTCGTAGTAGAGATTATATCTTTTATTAGACCAACAAGATATTTGCAAAAAAAATTATTTAATTGCAAGCTTTCAGACACAGACAAGCTTCATCAGGCATTGGAGAAAAGATTGTAAAAGTTCTCCTGGGTAGAAATTAAAGTTCATATTTCATAGGATTTCACAGAGGAGTCAAAAGATAGAAAATTCCTCTGGGCAGTCAGTTCATACCAGGAGGCTGCAGGCATGGCTGCCTTGAGCAGGGAGATGGTCAACTGGGGTGGACACATGGTGGTGTCCTGTTGCTCCATAGGTGAGCAGAGCTGCTTCAGGAGATCCTGGAAAGTAGCCCGGATCATCCAGAGCGCCTCCAGCCACTGCTCATTGTCTCAGGTCTACTGGGCAGCATGCAGCCACCAGTTCTGGCTGGCGGGTTGATCCAGAGACTGTGGGACTGGAGGCCCAGGAGGTTGAGGACGGCTTCAGCAGTGGTGCCCAGGAGCATGTCATTGGTGGCCCTGCCAGGGTTCAGCCAGCAGGATGGGGTGAGGCTGGCCAGGTGGGTGCTGCATGGGGGGAGAAGAGGGGGCCACAGGGCCCAGACTGCCCCAGGCCAGATGGTGATTGCTGCAGTGGGCCAGCAGGGCCAGCACCATGGCCAGCAGGAACCCAGGGCAGTGGATGTTGCTGCCAGGGGAAGGGGCTGGAGCAACTATGGTGTGGGGAGGCAGAGGCTGCAACAAGGGAGCCGCTACATGCTGCCTCTGCATGGAAAAGCAGCTGGCCAGGGAGCAGGGCTGCCTTTTAAAGATGGTTGCCAGCCACAGGCAGCTGTGGATAGAGTCTCTAGCTCTCTTTCATGGCAGCAAGGGCTGGTGCAG